GAAAGTCCAGGAAAAGGCAAAGAGAAACCTGTCCCAGCCAAACTGCATTCACCAAACTCAAGTCTCTTACATCCAGTCAGATGGTGTTACCGTCTGGGATTCTTTTCCAGAAACATAAGATTTATTTTTTCGTCTCACTCTCTCGGCTTTGAAATCAGCTTGCTATATTAAGAGTTCACATGGGGAGAACATTTAGTTTCGCTTTTGAAGCAAACTGATAAGATAGGCTCGCAGCTGCTTTTCTTCTTTCAGCCAGATCTTTTCATTCTTATTTTCAGCTTAATGAGGCTGTTTCATAAATCAAAGGCTTCGGCTTACTTAGTTGTTATACAGTATATTTTAAGCTTATATTAGTTGTTCTCCTCTCCCCCGGTAAAGGGTTACTTACGGCTCAGTGCCAATAATATGACTCCCTGTCTCTGGTCCGTGCAGGGTGATTTCTTCAGAGGGAAGAAGTCCGGGTTTGCATCCCTTTCTTCTCCTTCTGCTGCTCACCATCTGCTTCAGAGAGACTTCTCCTAGACTCTCCTTTGATCCCCATTTCAAAAAGGGGATCCCGGACGGGTTCAGTTTTTCCAGAGAGAGCTCTACTCTGGAGCTACTGGCAGCACCGCAACAAAGCCCCACCCTCCCAACCTTTGGAATGTTAACATCTGCAGTTCTCTCCTGCTGTTCAGGGGAATGTGCTAGATAGAGGTATAATCCTTTCCTCCCAATGTGGGTACTATGCCTTCTGCAACTCGTAAAAGGGACTTCTAAGTTGGAGTGTGTGCATTAGTCCAGCTTTACTGAATTAACCAGTTGAGTGCAACCTTTCGTTCTGTAGCCTGACCATGTCCTCCCCCCCCCCTCTGTGGTGCTTTGGAGAAGCTTCCTGGCCCACAGAATTAACTCCACTTTTTAAAGTCTTCTTGCCCTACCTTCGCGATTCTGAAAGGCTGGCCACTTTTTTCATTTTTAAGATACTTCATCTATATGCCTCCAACTAAGGATATATTGGTGTCTCCTTCACTTTGTTTTTGCGGGGGGCAAAATGAAATGCCATTATCCTAAAAACCTACTTCAGGAAGGGCAAGGGAGGCCAGCGGGTTCCAAGCCAATCAGAGCACTGCTCAGACAATCTTTGTCATAAACACGCAGGGCACATTTCAGGTGAACTCAGTCTCAGATGTATGTTTTCAGCAAAATGTACTGCAGGTGTTTGGTCTATGTGCAAATTACAAACATCAGTACATATATTGGTCATCTAAATATATATATATAAAATGTGACCCCACACAGTCAATCAGTTCTTTGAGGAATGATGCTGGGGGGGGGGAACAACACTAAATGGCATCAGAGGATGGCCAGAGAACAAACATCTTTGGTGTTTGCACTTTCTGTGACCCATGGGTGGCTTGGGCTAATTCACATTCTTTTCCGCTTGTGAAATCATGGCACCAGTTCTGGGCAACACAAGCTGTTTTGCTTCTGGTTGGTCTGGATCCTGCTCCGGGAGTGCTATGGCACTTCTGTTGTGTGTGCTATGACAGCAATGTCCTGCTGGAACTGAGAAAGATTTCTAGAGTAATTTGTGAAGTGTTGGGTCTGAATCTCACTTCCAAGACTAATTCACAGTATTTGGGTGATTTGGCAGTGGTGGGCCCATGATTCTATCTCTCCTTCTCTGTTCTTTCAACCGAAGATCACACAATTGGAATGATGCTGTAGAATTGCACTAGCACTTAAAAATATTTTGCAATGTTGTTTCCTGTTCACTAAGCTGTAAGATGAGTAAATACTTACATATATGGCTCATTCGCAGGCCTATTTGACAGTTCTATATATGGCAACATAAAGCCATTCCACACGTCTGTCTAGAATTCAGCCACCTCATTTGACACATGCTACTTCAGATTGCATGAAGTATGCTTATATTTACATTTCAGATAGTTGAACAATGTTCCATGTAACAAAGTGGTGTGAGTGTTGTAAACTCCACATACGGGGGAGTGCTGTGTGCTAAACCTCTCTTGAATGTTCTGGCTTAGTACAGGCTGAGAAATCTTCTCCATGAAAGATCATTTGAAATACATACAAATACACACTCACACATGCTACTTGAAATCCAAAACACGAAGTTATCCCTCCTTATACTGAGTAATGCCTCTGTCAGCTCAAAGATCCTGTGTCTTGATTAGAGGTATAGCTTCCAGAGAATAATATCATGTGCTCTTGAGCATAGGGTCCCATGCATCTGCTTGCCACTGCACCCCCACTTGATTCTAAGTGAATATAAATGTACATTTGCTTCCCAACCATAAGCAGAGTCCTATTCACACTTCTTAGTAGGGAAAAGCGTGTATATAATTATCACACTCCACCCTCCTCTTAGACTCTACTGATAGACTCCGTAACAATGTGTCTCATGGTAAATGCATATTTTGCATTCCTGGGTATGATGAGTCATCAACCTCAGTGATAACCTTTCACAAAACCAAAACTCTGCCTTAATTCCACAACTGTTGGTAAACATATTTCTCACAAGGTCAACCAAGTGTCTCCGGGAAGTCCACAAGTAAGAATGAATACAAATAGCCATTTCTTCCTGTTGCTCACCGTAAGTAGCATTCATTGGCATTTTACCTCTCAATGTGGCTGTTTCAAAGATCCAAGTTGAGAGGAGCATTATGATTAAGTTAAATGTGTAGAATGCATGTGCCTTCTCTTTCTAACTATTTTGGGGGAGGTTTCCATTTTCTCAGACTTAATGGTAGCTTTCCTGATTTGTGGTATATATTTTAGCTAAGCTTTGTGTCAAAGTTACGTTTTTCATTCCATTTAGAATTGTGGAGCAGGTTTAGAGAAGTGCAATTTTAGCACAGGTAATTTTCTTAGAAAGTACATCTTTCATACCCTTGTGTCAACAAAACAAACAGAAATAAAATAACACACACATATATAATTAGTATATATATCTCTCTCTCATATGATTTATTATTTACATTGTGTATATTCTTTTATTATACTATTTATTTTGTGTATATTCTTACATTTTCCTTGTTTAACTTGTCTGTCTGCTTTCTGTATTCCTCCACTGCACTGACTGAGATGCTGTCTTTTTCCTTTTTTATTATCTTAAAGCTGGCTCAGAAGGAACATTCTGGCCTCAGGTAAAAAGAGAAAATATATTACTATGGTAGCTAATAATATAATTAGAAACAACTAAGCCAAATAACAAAATAAAACAGGACGCTGCCCTCGTTTCTGAGATATATTGGAATTTATTAATTTGAAGCCCCGGGATAGCTTCAAATGAGCTCAACACATCTTCAGTACTTGGGATTTATTTCATTGGATTAGCTAGGACTGTTGCTATATTGTCTGCAAACAGATTGATGAGGCACTGCTTGCTATTAATTTTAATTCCTGTTCATTTGGGGTTGCTCTTAATTACCAAAGTAATTAAGAGTTTGCAAAAATGACAAATGCAAACAAAATTGGAGACAATAGGCATGCTTGCTTAGTTCTCCTCTAAACTAGGAAAGCATCCATGTCCATACCCTCCATTCATACCACCATTTATGGGTGTTGTATGATGTTTGTAATAATTTCAAGAATATCTTAGAGCAGTGGTCCCCAATGTTGGGTAACCCAGGCATTCTTGGACTGCAACACCCAGAAACCCTGGCCAGAACAGCTGGTGATGAAGGCTTCTGGGAGTTGCAGTCCAGGAACACCTGGATTAACCAAGGTTGGGAACCTTTGTCTTAGAGGGATCAAATGAGAAGGGAATGTTGTTGCCTCTGTTTTGGATTCCATGATGGATTATGTTCCATAACCTGCAGATTGGGTCTGATATCTGTCTTCTCTGGATGAAACTGGCCTGTTTGGCATGACCGAGCTTAATTTTTTTAGCAATTTGGTGTCTTGGTTCGAAAGAATTCCAGGATTCTTGAGAAAAGTCATTCTTCAGACTGGATTTTCATTTAAGTCAGAAAAGAAGTTAGAACTGCTAATACTCTTCTTCCTAAGTATTATGTACCTGTCACACACTCCTAGTTCCCCTGTTTGTTCTTCTACACAACCCAGGCTCACTTTCGGGTATGACATTTACTTTTCAACCCTTTTCGCTGCCACCAGAGGATTTATTCCTCACTCAATCAAAAATGACTCTTAAATCATAATTATCCAATATAACAATATTTATGTGTTTATCAGTAAATCACATAAAGTGCATCATGGATGATCTTATTTTATTCATTCAATAAACCGTGCTTTGATAACATTTATATTTACTTATGAAGAATCATTTTAATCAAGGTATTTATTCATTTCTTATCTTATTCTCTCTCTCTCTCTTCTCTAACACATTTGTGGTCCTAACTATCTAAACTGCTTCTATCAAACTGATATTCCTAACTGAAGTCCCTAACTTTAACTCATATCATTAGCTGATCTTTAACTGTCTTCCATTGTTCTTATATTTCCTTGGTTCCACCCCTTCTGTTCAACCATTGGTTGTTAAATCAGGGTTCCATTGTGATGGACAGGAGTGGTTACTGACCTGTCTGTCACAGTACCCACAATAGAAAATTGTAAAACAAATGTAGTCATGTGATCCATGAGGAGAAATAAAATTCTGGGTTGAGCAATAAATAAACAGGCAATAAATGGAAAGATGGGGTTACATACTCATACGTTGACTTCCAATGTCTGTACCCATTTCTGCAGCCGTCACCTCCAAAAAATGTTTACTTACAAAAACAAAAATTCTTTAAAAAACTGAAGCAGTTCCCTTAAACACTTTAGTAATAATAATAAAAAAACTTACATTTCTCTTTAAAATCTGGGGTGTCAAATGGCAGGATTGGCTTCTACCCCCTAGAGTGCCTGAGGGAACTTTTGAATCTTTTAAATTCTTTGAAGGGGTGGGGTGTTGGGAGGTGGAGGAATGCTATCCATTTCTAGTCTACAGAGAGGGAAGTGACTGTAAATGAATTCCTTGACATCTTTATTTTTCATTGAGTCAAGAGTCTACAAGGTGGATAGCTATTTTGTGTCTTTCCCAATCCCACTCACCACCACACCCCAATTTTGTAGCCTGAAGAATCATTCTGGAGAACTCAGACACTTACCTTGCTTGTACCATTTTAGTGATTCAGCAAAGCCATTACTCAACTCGGAAGTTTGATTCTAGAAATACATGTTTGACCAGTGTCACTGAGTGTTGCCACATAGTACTGAGATGGAGCACTCCCCATCTTTCCAAAATGTATGTGTCACATTAATGAAAGATACCAGAAGCATTTCTCTCCATATCAGTGTGTGTTTTCATAAATCCAAACAGATGCATGGCTCAACCACCAGCTGTCCTATGGTTTGCTCTTTTTCATTTTCAGCTCTCCACAATACCCAGAGAAGTTCTAAAACCAGCCACAAATAATCTTACTGGTCATTTCCTCTAC